GAATGGCTACATATTCTTAGCTGGCAATATAAAGACCACTCAAAGAACATTTACTTTGATGGTCATGAACGTGAAGATGTAGTTGCAGATAGAAGTCGATTTTTGCAATAATGGGCAGAATTATGAAAACGAATTGCTACTTACGAAGGTAATAATTTGGACCAAATCATCTTACCTGTACTTCCCTATGGTGTTCCTGAGATTGTTCCAGTTACCCATGATGAATCAATCTTTTATGCCAATGATGATATTGTCAAAGCTTGGGGTCTGGCGGATGAGAATAGACTTCGTCGCAAGTTACAAGGCCTTAGTATTCATGTAAGTGACTTTCTCTGTAAGTCTATTGAACGACTTTGGCTTTTAGAAGAGGATTGTTCCGCTAACAATTTGCTTCCTGATGGTGAGCGGCTTGTTTATATTGAAGCTTGCATTACAATGTATCCTGGTATAAGTCGTGATAGCTGGTGGACAAATAAAGATGTTGTTAACCAGGTAAAAGAGCGGGCTATTTTAATATTTGAACGTACTCACCCAGAAAAAATTGCACTGTTTATGTTTGATAACAGTTGCAATCACAATGCATTTGCTGATGATGCATTGGTGGTTTCAAGAATGAATATGAAAGATGGCGGCAAACAACCACTCCTTCATGATGGTAGAATGCCTGATGGTTTACCTCATATCATGACATTCACAGATGCTGATGGTGTAAAGCCCAAAGGTATTCAACGAGTTCTTGAAGAGCATAGTTTATGAATATCGGGTTTGAAAAGAAAATGCAGCGCGTATATGCAACATAATTCCAATCCAATTAATCTAGACTGTTGCATATCACGTATTCTTTCTGCCCAATCTGACTTTGCATCACAAAAGATACATATATAAGAGGTAAGCTACAGTTAATAAGTTAATTATTCAATTTAACAACATTTTTTTTAAAATACTTATCTTTTAGGTTATTGAGGCAACATGGCATATGTGTATGTTCTACTTAAAGTTCTATTGTGAACTTAATTATATCGAGTCCTTTTGGGTAGAAGCAAAGCGGTATTCACGTCTCCATTGCAATTATACATTCAAGGACCTTAAGGAGGTTGTATCGCGTGCATTAGAATCTGTTAGTCTAATAAAATTTCGTCAGTTTGCATGTCGTTCTGCACATTACATAAGTGCTTATGAACTTGGACTTTCAGGTAAGGCAGCTGTCTTTGTGGTTAAGCGGTATAAGTCTCATCGTCGTGTTCCTGCAAATGTTTTAGAAGAATTTGGTAACATGTAAATAAAATTATTGAATCGCAATTAACCAATCATATTCTGTCATGTACTTTATACATACCAATCATATTTCGTGCACGTGATGACAAAGGCGCTAAAAATCCCGCTATTACTATTAAAGTTAACGTTAAAAAAATCCTAACTACAAAAAACTTTTATAATAAAATAAAAATAAAAAATACGTAATATTAAAGACCATATCAAAAACTATTTAATAACATATTTTTTTTTAATGATTATATGTTTAAAAAAAATTCCTTTACATTTTGAAATTCTTAAAAATCATTTGATGCGACTAAGCTATTTGCACCATAGTTAAATCCATTTTATTTATTTTAGTTAATATAGATCTATCATTTTTATATGACTTATAATTTATATTTGTTTAATAAATTTGGTTTTTTAAATATAAAAACCTAATTCCTTAAATCAGTCTATATGATTACAAATATTATACTTAAGATGATATAAAAAAAGTAAAGTCAAATTGAGTTTTACATTAAAATGCTAAAAGTATCTGACCTATTTTAAGCTAGAACTAATATATTCAATACAAAATTTAATTCAAAAATAAGATAAAATTTAACTTATAAAAATCCTAAAACTTTTAACATTTTTAAATTACTCTTTAGTCTATTATTAACTTTCTACTAACTTTATTAAACAAAAATTTATACCTCTTTATTATTATATTTCTCTAATATTATTGCACCAAAAAGATCAAAAAACTTTTTATTTGTATATTATATACTTATTATATTTATTTATTAATATAAATCAAAAGATAAAATATAATTTACAAATTAAAAAAAATTAAAGACTAATCGAAAGTCTTTTTATTTAAAATTTAAAAGATAAAGTAAAAAAATAATAATAAAATTAAACTAAAAAAAATTATTATAAAAAAATCCAAATCTTTTTATGATTTGATTTTTAAATTTATTAAATTTATATTATTTATTAAAAATGGAATAGTAATTAAAATATTGTAACTTTTAATATTGTAATATATGTTGCAATTAGTTATAACTTATATATGAGAGATTTGCTAGGAAAATAGGACTCTAAATATTTATTAAATTTTTAATTTTTTATTGCATTTTAATTTTGATAATTTTTGATTAAAATGCAATAAATATTAAAATTTTAATAAAAAATGCTCAAAATCCTATTTATCTAGCAAACCTTTTATATGTTACAACTAATTTTAACTTATATTGCAATAAGTTTATAAGAATTTATTATGAAATCCTATTAATCATAATTATATCAGTCCTAGAATTCTAATATCATAATTCTAATTATCTATAATTTTGACATTAACAAATGCCTAAAATTTCATATTACTGATATGATCAGAATTTTGATAATTACGAAACCTAATAAACATAAATCCTGACAAGCAAATAATTCTCATAAACTTATATTTTATAGTTAACTAACTAATTCTAATTTAACTCTAATCTAATCCTAATCTCATATCCTAATTCTATACTCTAATTGTAATTTTAATATATCAGGATTTTGGCTATTGAGATTTTGAATTATTCAGATTTTTTGTTTGTTAGATTTATGGAATATTAGGATTATACTCTTATTAAGATTTTCAGATGTCAAGTTTTTAGTTATTTGGGATTATGATGTTTGAGATTCTATACTGTTAGGATTATGATTGATGGAATTTTTGGAAACCTATTTATAAATTCTCAATTTAATTAAAATCTGAACTTTAGCTATTAATACTAGATCCTTTTTTCCAAATACTATAATTTGATATATAAAATGAAGCTCTATCTTACTAAATATAAAGTTAATATAATTATCAAATCCATGTTTTCTTATACTATAACTAAAGGTCTAATTTCATACCAACCAAAATAATCCTAAAATCTTATTGATTTATTATCAAATTTAACAGTATGTTAAATACATCTTTAATATAAGGTTTTTTAAGATTTTCATATTCTTACTTAGTCATTTGACTCAAAAAGAGCAAATTTTACCATTTGTTTCTCCAGTTTCTTTTTCTTACATTATCTCACAATTATTATTATGTTTTTCAATCAAAAGAGATTTTTTTACATGTAGAATAACTATTAAGACTAAAGATGAAAACTGTAATTAATACATTGTAACTTTTAATGTTACAACTTATTGTTGCAATTAGTTTTAACCTATATATATGTTGCAACTAATTTTAGCTTATGTTACAACAAGTTGTAAATTTGAAATTAATTACTGCACCATCTTTAATCAAAACCCAATCTTTTAATTATATTATTTATTATACTAGTATGAATATTAAAATAATATTTGGAAGGTTTGCTAGAAAAATAGGGTTGTGAGAATTTTTTGATTTTTATTGCATTTTAATTTAATGATATTTGATTAATTTGATTAAAATGCAATAAGAAACAAAAAAATTCTTAGAATTCCATTTTCCTAGCAAACCTCCCATTTGTCTGATGCAACTCAAATAATGCCACGCCAGCCAATTCACGTGACCAAAAATCCGGTAGCTTACTGTATGTATAGCTATGGATTGAGAATTCACCCTATCAATGAGTTTAACATACATTCTCAGCCATATAAATTACTTATAATGTTATGTAAAGATTGGTCAAACCAATTTAAGTTAGTAAGTTAGTGATTTTTAAATAAATGCCAACCGTGGCAAATTGTTCCTTCTTAAACAACATATTCTACAACCGATTCGCGACTCTTATATGAAAATCAGTAATCATATTTTTATAAATATTTGTGATAATTTGAGAAGAAAAAAAAATGTGTAAATTATAATATAACTGTTTGATGAATGTTTGGTTCGTATTAAAATTTAATTTCGTCACTGAGAAATATTTGGATTCGATAATAATTTCGTCGCTGAGAAATATTTAATTAATTCTGACTCATTACTATTTATAGCTAGCTTTTTTTTCAGACTAAAGTTTGAGATCAAATCTTAGAAAGGTATGATAATTCTCACACAACCGCGCGCTATGTACCTACAATGTATATACTATTTATGCTAAGAAGATCTTTATTTTTTTGCAGTTCGTAAATGCATAAATGCATGATTGTCAATGGTAGAATGTGTGAAAAAAAAAGATTCTCGTACTAAAAGGATCAAATAAATCGACAATTCATTCTGTTTTATTATATTGTTTGACTTGTTGATGTGCAATTCGCAGGTTTTTTTTTATTTATTTATTAAATATGTAATTCTGAAATTCAAGGACTATTTTAGAAATCGAACCATTCCTTTTTTTTTTTTTAAAAAAAAAAAAATAAATAAATTTATCATTTTTTTTTTAAAAAAAAAAAAAAAAATGTGTTTATTTACAATTTTCTTATTAAGCATCTATACGATTTATTATTATAATAGGTATTCCAAGAGAAAAAATCCTTTACCTGGACCATTCCCATTACCATTGATTGGTAATTTATATCATTTTAGATTTTTTTGGAAAGGCAATGATAAAAAAATTTCTAATGAATTTATAAAGGAATTATTTTCTCGATATGGGGATATTTTTGAAACCTACTCCTTCAATGAAAGGATTATTTGGATTAACCGAATCGATTTGGCGGAAAAATTTTTAAATACCGACGTACAGTTGAATTCAATTCCTAACATCACAATTAATCAAAAAGAAGGGAATCATTCATATAATTATTTTCAATTAAGAAATAAAAATGAAATTAAGGAATTAAGGATTAATGAAATGGGAATTTATTATAATCATGAATATAGTTCTTGGAAATTTCATAGGAATGTCTTGATAAAGAGTGTCACGTTTCCTAAATTTTTAAAAGGGATTGTAATGGAATTGCAAGAACAATTTAAGGAATTAGAAAATTATTGGGATGATATGGAAACGGTCGAATCCGAACCCAAATATTCAAATGATCAAAATTCACTTTCAAATGACAAAGCAAAAGATGATAACAAAAAGCATGATGCTTCCATAAATGCTAGCAAAAGTAATGGAGATAAAATTATTGATATATCAAAATGGATAAACAGGTTTACGTTTGACATATTTTTGCAATCAATTACAAGAAAGAAATCCTTTTCAATGGCAAATTATTTTAATCAAATTTCAAAAGATGAAGAAAATAAATTAAAGGGAATCGAATGTCTTTTAAATGAATGCAACCAATTTATTAATAAACTTAAAAATAGTTTATGGTTATTAGATCAATTTAATTTTGTATTAATTGGTTTACCAAAATGGTTTGAAAAAATTTTTCTAGGTAATATAATTTTTAATTAAGTTGTAAAAAAAAAAAAAAAAAAAAAAAAAAAAGATTTCTAACTTAACCTTTTCCCTTATGTTTGGGTTCAGTTTATAAGCTATATAATAGAAAATATTTTAAGGATTATTGGTGGCTTTATGAAACATTATTAAAAATTGTTCAAACTCGTCGATTCGAAATTTCATGCTCACCGAAAGAGCCAGATTTAAAGGCTGATTTATTAACTTCATTAATTAATTTTGGAACTTCACATCCAACCGACGTGAAAAGTGAAAACGAACGCGCGCTAACAGATGAAGAGATCGTTTTCATCTTTAAGAACATAATAAATGGAGGAATAGACAAGGCAAGGACTTTCACCTATATTTTTTTTTTCCCTAAAACTTATTTAGATTTAGATTTTTGCTAATTTATATCCATAATATAGGTCTCAAATTCATTTAGTTATATCATCTATTATATATGTAAATATCCAACAATAAAATATCGCATGATTGAAGAAATCGATTCAATCTTGGGAAATCATCATGATACGTTCACATATTTTATGATAGGTAAATTGTATTTTTGCGAAGCGGTAATTAAAGAAGTATTAAGGATACATCCCGTGCACCCATTAATTTCAAGGGTATTAAATGAAAAGGATAATGTTGGTGGATTTACATGGAACCTTGGTCAAATGTTTTTTATCAATTTGCATGCTATACAAAACCACAAATACAACTGGAAAAATCCTGACGAATTTAATCCCGAAAGATTTTTATATTTAGAAAAAGAAGAGGAGGAAAAAGTATTAAATAAGAATGAAAATCACTTTATCAAAGAAGAACTTGAGAGGAAAACTTTATTCGCTTTTGGTATGGGAGTAAGGTCTTGTCCAGCTAAAGATTTGGCCATGATCATGCTTAAAACTATGGTGGTCATGTTTTTGAGAAAGTATGATGTCATTTTGGTGGATCAAGAGGAACTCCAAATTAATTATGAAAATATGTTAAATATTTGTGATGAATTAAAAGTCAAAATCAGATCAAGGAATCATAAGTAGATGTCCTATATGAACCGGTGATATGAAGGCAACTATTTGTCGGCGTAATTGCCACGTTGGATGTATTATCTCCATTACCAATAAATAATATTATCTTGTTGAAAGTGTTTGGACACTTCATTGCACAATAATTACTATGTATGATTCATGAGCCGCGTACAATAAATTGTTATTTCATGCAAAAAAAATATAAATTTATTCTATGTAAGCACGTATAAACTATACCACGTTAAACATAAAATCATCTTTAGCAAAATCAAATCATTTAGTAAAAAAAACTTATCTTCTTTTCCTTCGTGAAAGCCTCCTTCGCTTCCGTGAGAGTCTCCTTCATTTCCTTGAAAAAAAAATTTTGATAAGGTCTACGTTAGAAAGAAACATTACAATATGATTTGATAAACAAAGTCATCTATGTAATTCAAAGGTCACGGGACAACCTATCACAAAAAAAGTAAGGGATTTTTCACATTGAAAAAATTCAGAATACATAGTAAAAATGGGAGGGTTGACAGTTTTTGAGCTCACGTGGGCCGAAAAAAATTTTGTGGTGATACTGGGAAGATAGTTTTTATAGGTAAAGCTATATGTAGCGAAATGTTTCAAATTGTTTATCGGTTGTCTCGTGACTCTCTTATTTTGAAATTTGAGGTATAAAGTGTTGATTTCCTAGCATCTTGACCATACTAACGACTATTATTTTTTTTTTACTATAATTACAATTTATACATATACTAATGTAGAATAACTTCATTGAATCTTATCAAAGAATATTTTGCTTTTTGTAATTTTTTTAGCTATCTACAACAATAAATCTTAATTGAAGTAATAATTAATGAAAATTTATAAATATGCTGATTTAAATAGATTTTAATAACGATAAAAATTATTTTGAAAGTTTTATCGTAATGTAATAATGTAAGCCTTATTGAAAATATTAAAACTGATTCACTCAAATCTCATTTATTTAGGATCAAAGCACGAGAATCAACAACTACTTTACAAATCTATAGGAGAGGAAAGTGCTTAAAGTGATTACCAAGCGTTGTATTGGACGCGAGCGTGGACTTCGGACGGGACAGTCCAAGTTCATGTCCAAAAAAATAAAAATAAAATTAATATCCCGGATACAAATCCTCTTAATAATATTCGGTAAAGCGAGTTTTTATTTTTCATTTATTGAATAATCATTAGAAGTCCAGGAACGGGTAAGCATGGTTACCTAATATTTTTTTAATTTCGGGATGATACTTAAATAATGGTACATAATCAAATAATGTTATATTGTTATTATTATTGTTATTGTTATTTGACTGATATAGATATCCCTTTTCAAGTAACATTTAATACAATTTGGACTCGAATATTTCCAGCTTTTACTAATGCTGGCAATGTTGATGACCGTCCTTATGGAGGGACAAATTTCAAGAGAAACCTAATTAAGTTAGTAAATCAATGAAACCAATGTTACATTTTTATTAATTCACGCAAGGTAGCGGATTGGAATTAACAAATTTTCCTTGTTGTTGAAAAAGGAAATAAAACACTGCGCCATAAAAAATTATGTGTGTAATTTTAAATCTTTTAATATAAATAAAAATTGTCGGTTTGACGGGTAAAAATTTTCCTGGATATATATAGGTTAACTGGAAAATTATAACGCCTTTGTTCTTGTTTACAAATTTTTTTCGTATTACTTTAATTTTTCTTAATGCATCACACCATAAATAAACAACCTCCTACCATATGGACACAATCTTTATAATATTTACTTTTTTGGAATTGGATCATTTCACAACTGAGGTTAGGTTAGAGTTTGTACATGATCTTTTAAAAAATTCTCTTTTTTTTTTGTTCAAAGAAATAACGAGAATTTTAAATGGGTCAATTCGGTTTACTGCGCCATCACTCAACAAATGCAGGCACGTTGTACGACATGATAAAATTAATATTTGTTTGACTAAAATCTCACTTTGAAGAAAAACTTACTTGCAACGGAGTTTACAATGCGATGAAACACTTTTATTTGGAAATTTGCGTTTCACAAAATATGAGAATTATATAAATTCTTTCCCTTTTCAATGATGGTTTGTAAATTTTGTCAAGAAAGCTAGCTCGCTCTCTCTCTCTCTTATTTTTTTTTTTTTTAAAATATTAAAATTTAATAAATAGCAAATATGTCTTATAATAGTAGTCCACCTCAATATCAACCACAATACCCTCAACAAATACCTCCACAGCCACAAGGAATGTCTCCACAGCAACAAGGAATGTCTCTACAGCAACAAGGATTACCTTCAGGATTACCTTCACAGCAACTACCTCCACAGCAACAAGGATACTCTCCACAACAGCATGTATTCGTTCAACAACATCAAGGATTTTCTCCCCAACAGGGTATCCCCCAAGAACAAAATGTATATGCCTATCCTCCACAACAAGGTGTTCCAGCTCACCAACAGCAGCCCATGATGTATGCTGCCACAACCCAAATGAATCCTCAAGTTGTGATTAAACAAGCCCCACAAAGAGAATGGAGATTTGGCTTATTTGATTGCTTTGCAGATGCTACGTTGTGTAATTATCATAATTTTTTTTTTCCTTTAATATTGAAATATAATACAAAATTTATCCCTTTTTTTCATTTTAGGTTTAAAAACGACGTTTTGTTCTTGTATTACTTACGTAAGTTGATATTATTAGAGCACTTTTAAAATCATACGAATTCAAATTCTCATTTTTTTTATAATTTATAGGGAGAAAACAAAGAAAAATTATCTAGCAGTCCTGGTTCATGTGCAACGCATGCTTTAGCATATTGCTGTGTTGAATATTGCCTTGGCTTAGGTTGTATCCTGGGTGCAATGGCTCGTAATGAAGCGAGAATTAAATATCAAATTGATGTAAGAATGCTTTATTTTTTTATAAAAGGGTACTTTATGTGAAAATTAAAAAAATTGTCCGGTTTATTAATAATGAATTTCTTCTAACTCTAGGGAAGTGGAATTGGAGATGCTTGTACTCATATTTGTTGCGGTTGTTGCGCTTTGATACAAGAAAATCGGGAAGTTAATTCATTTCCATAATTTCTCAAAAAATATATCAAAAAAAAATTAATTCTATTACAATATTGAATTGTGTAATTTATTATTATTTTCTTTTTAATTATATATATTTGCTCTTCGTTTGTTAACATATTTTTATGTAGAATGTTATAATATTTATTAATTATTCATATTAAAGTTTTCCTTCTTTTTTTTTTAAAAAGATATAATATAAAGTTCATCAATAAAAACATCTATTCGTCTCGGCACTTTCTTTATCCGATGCTTTTTATTATAATTAAAATAAAAATGAGGCGTTAAAAAAATCATGTACTAGATGTATCAGGCGTATTAGGAATATGTAGAATGATACATAATTATAGTTTGATTATTTGTAAATAGAAATCTTTCCATCTTTTTTTTTTTTATCGTAATTTCTTCAATAAATGGTCTTTTATTTTTACTTTTATTTTATTCAAATAGTATATTTTAAATTCAGTTCTTTTTTTTTTTTTTTTAGAAATAATATGCATTATATAATGGCAAGTTTTTTTTCTTGTTCCTAAATTGAATAAAGTTTATGGTATCGAATGATTTTTTCATATATTTCTGCACATGGAGGTGGACAATCTTTATTTTCTTTATTGTACTTTTGCAAGTTCATTGATTGTAAGTTTGAAAAGTTGAAAAATTTGTTTGTTAGTTATCTGTTTCTTTAAAAAGACAAAGAGTCTAACTGTTAAAGAGTTTATTTGGTAAGAGAATGAAATCCACTTTGTGTGTAGAAAGGTAGGAAATTGCCAAAAAAAAAAAAAAATTTACCACAAGCGTCTATGTACAGTACAAGTAACTAGGGATGTTAAAGTCTGTGATTGAACGGTTCAGACCATAGTCTGATCATAGAACCGGTTTCGGTTCGGTTATAGGG